TTTTATAGGATATTCAAGTCATATTTGCTATAATATCCCAGGGATTATATATAATGTCCTGGGTATTTTATTAATGTAACTTCCGTTCAGATTGTACCATGTAATGAAATGTAAAATCAAATGACAAATGTTTTCTTTATATTCCCGAGGATCGAATTCGCAACCTTCATATCTGTAGCCCAGTGAGTGTACCACGAGGCTACAGAGGTGTTGATAAGCCTCACTGTTTTTTAGAATGTCCTTTTCAAGATCCGTACGCCAGCAACAGATATTTTACGCGCGTTTCCTAAGGTTCATGGAAAGTATGTTCGAAACATAAAATGTTGATAAATGTTGTTTTAAGTTTCTTTTATCGATTTATAAGTATGGAAAAACACTCTCCCTCGGTTTTGGTAGACAGAGCATGCCCTGCGGAGAGGGAAAAACCAAGGGGCGAACCTCGTAAGCGTGTTTTCTCCAATACTTGAAAAGACCGAGGGCTTCTGCAAATGATAATGCCCTGAAAAATTACGTTACCGTTATTATAGCTAAACTGGAAAGATTTTGTTATCAAATAAAAATACACAAAAATATCGGTTTTGAACATTTACTGCAATCAACACACAACGGGCATTATCAAGTTTTAGTGGCCTGCATATTTCTGATAATTCTATTCATTTTAGCTATAATATGTTGCATCACACGAACCTGGGGATGTGAGGGACAAAAAGGCCACAGTTACTCATTCTTAAGAACATGAGTCAACAAATGAGGATTGGGTGGTTAAACTGTGTGATCTTGCTGAGTTTTTTGTCACCATGCCGAATGCGTGTATCTCATGCTGCCATCCCCGTGCCTGGTCCAGGCTCGATCACAGATATCAGTTATATATCTGGCCTGACCCGTGAAGTTCCGGGGTAGAATAGGTCTTCAGCAACCCATGCTTGCCGTAAAAGGCGACGAGGCAACTCGGATGGGATCGGGTGGTCAGGCTCGCTGACTTGGTTGATCTATGTCATTGATCCCAATTGGGTGGATCGATGTTCATGATGTCAATCACTGGATTATCTGGTCCAGACTCGATTATTTAGACCGCCGTCATATAGCTGGAATATTGCTGAGTGCGGCGTTAAACAACAAACCAACGAACCATAAGCATGAGAATGGTTTATAAATACCAAGGATCACAAATAAGACACTAATTATGGATAACAGCTTCTTTAACTTCTGTAAAGGCGACGTCATACACCTGGAATATTGCTGAGTGCGGCGTAAAACAAAAACAAAACATACCTAGGTTATGATGTATGTAATACTTGGATTTGTCTCTTCGTAGGGCCTTCAGAAAGAGTTTTTCCCCTTCCTGATACATCTTTACTTTGACGAAGACACTGGCCACACGAGCCATCAGGCCCGTCTCTTCGGGAAGCAGAACCACAGCCTTCCTACCCACCACAATAGCCTGGTCGTACTTCCCTGTATTTGACAAAAAAAGATGTCGTCTGGATGTATCTATGTCTTGTAGTACGAAGACATTCTGTACAGGAGATGTATCATGGAGTGCCATATGAATACAATATTTCAATATCTGGATGGCACGTGTAATATCATTAATGTGCAAATGTTTACTGGATATATGCAGAACGTTTATATGCGGATAACTGATTTTGAGTGGATTTGGGCCTAGCCTAGTGGTTAAATCATTTTTCGATTTCCCACGTGGGTAGAATGTGTGAAGCCCATTTCTGAAGTCCCCTGCCGGTGTAAAACTATGCTCACTCACTCACTCACTCACGCACGCACGCACGCAAGCAAGCACACACGCACGCACGCACGCACGCACGCACGCACGCACTCACAATCTACTTAGACTGGTTGTCTCATCTATTGTGCTTCCCGCAACATTGAAGCGACACTGTGGAAAGCGAGTATCCCATCTCTTACCCAGCTGATCAAGGATGAGGAAAGAGTTTTTCCAGGCTCCAGCGTGGGTCGGACTGATCTGAGTAGCGTTCCGGTACGCAGTGATAGCGTCTTCATGACGTCCAAGGAACTTGTACTGTAGGAATATACAATGTAAAACATCTCAAAGCTTGTAAAACTCAAACATTTTTATTATATTTCTGACAGAAACCAGACATCTCAAAGCTGGTAAAATATCAAATATTCAAGCAGTAAAATATTTAATTTGACTTAATATTCTGCTGGATTTGAACAATTGTGGAAAATGAGCCTCGATCATATCATGTTTACTCTCGCTGTTATGGATTTCGTCTCATACGGTACTGTTCACGACTATCGTCACATTATCATTTCTCACGAGATATATGCCCGTACAAAATGCATTATTATTTCGGTCATAATGCATTGATAAACGTGTACGTAACGGGTTCAGAACGTATATATCGATTTTAAAATAGAAAATAAATGTTTTTAAATACATTTATGGGGATGCTACTACGTACTAAGGTGCACACGGTGTCAGGTGGCGCTTGTTCCCGTTTTCAGAGAGATGCAGTTCACTTGAGGCAGGGGGCGGTCGGGTAGCCTAGTGGTTAAAGCGTTCGCTCGTCACGCCGAAGACACGGGGTCGATTCCCGACATGGGTACAATGTGTGAAGCCCATTTCTGGTGTCCCCCGCCGTGATATTGCTGGAATATTGCTAAAAGCGGCGTAAAACCATACTCACTCACTCACTCACTTGAGGAAGAGGTGATTGAACATTTCATTTGAAAGTCAGAACGAGACCCAAGACAATAATTCAGGGTATATTTATGTTAGAGGTTTAATTTGATTTAACAGAATTATTAGATTTATTAAAGCTTTAAAATTATAGACGAAACACTGTGAATGTGCATGTCTTCGGTTTCGGTTGAATATTACAATTACGTTTTCTTTGGACATGTCAGCTCAAAACAAACGATTGAAGAAACACTAAATCGCGGAAAACATTGCAGGCCTTGTATTAGACTCATCCGTGAAGATCTAGGGTATTCAGCAACCCATGCTTGTCGTAAGAGGCGACTAACGGGATCGGGTGGTCAGGCTCCTGACGTGGTTGATGTATGTCATCGTATCCCAATTGCGTGGATCGATGCTCATGATGCCGATCACTGGACTTTCTGGTGCAGAGTCGATTATTTACAAACCGCCGTCATATAGCTGGAATATTGCTGATTGCGGTGTTAATTATATAAACAACATCATCAACAACAAAGACTCACCAGGTTACCCAGGTTGTAGTGACAGTCTGTGCACGCGCTGTGGAGATGAAGGGCCCGGAGGAAGCTGGCCTCTGAAGACTCTGGTTCATTCAGCTGAGCCTGCACAATGCCCAGGTTCATCCATGCCTCTTCTGAGTCTGGTCTTGGAATAAGAATGAGGACATCAGTTGAATGTTCCTCAGGTTGAATGTTACAAACGTTTACCAAAGACTCATATGAAATGGAGGTGGAATTTATGTGGTAGGAGTATTTCCAAAACGATGTGTTTGAAAATGGGGGAATCGGACACAATATGGTGAAATCCATAAGCACGAGAATGGTTTTGAAATACCAAGGATCACAAATGAGACACAATTTATGGGTAACAGATTTTTTTTTTCTGTAAAGGCGTCGTTTCTGAATAGGTCCTCATACCGTTGTCAAGCAAGACATGCTGGTAAATCGAGACTTTAAACTCAGGATACGCTTTTACTTGGTTCCAAACTTTGATTCACCCAATTATGATCCTCGGTCAGACCTCAAATCAGCGTATCCTTGATCGGTTTGAGGACGTAATGTTTCACAGCTGTGTCATTCGTCTTAGATCACGGAATTAATCTTATACTCAGAACCTTCAACCAGCAGAGATTTCTTATCATTATGAAAAGGCTTTTGTTGCTTCTATTTTTGTTTGTTTGTTTGTTGTTTAACGCCGCGCTCAGCAATATTCCAACAATATGACGGCGGTCTGTAAATAATCGAGACTGGACCAGACAATCCAGTGATTGACATCATGAACATCGATCCACGCAATTCGGAAACGATGACATGCATCAACCAAGTCAGCGAGCCTGACCACCCGTTAGTCGCCTCTTACGACAAGCATAGTCGCCTTTTACGGCAAGCATGGGTTGCTGAAGACCTGTTGTTCGCCGGATCTTCACGGGTCTCTATTTTTGTACATCAACAATAGTTGTATAAGTAGACGTAGCCCTTACGCCGTACAGATACCAACATTGTGCTTCTATTTGATTAAGGGGCGGTCGGGTAGCCTGGTGGTTCAAGCGTTCGCTCGTCACGCCGAAGACCCGGGTTCGATTCCCGACATGGGTTCAATGTGTGAAACCCATTTCTGGTGTCACCAGCCTTGATTTTGCTGGAATATTGCTAAAAGCGGCGTAAAACCATACTCACTCTATTTGATTAAAGAAAGTCAACGAGGGATGGTACCTGTGACCGATGGCTCTCTCCAGAAGCTCCTTTGCCTCCAATCCATTGCCTCTCTTCCGCAGGATGACTCCCAGGTTTATCAATGCAGCGTGGTACTGTGGATGCAGCCTTAGGAAACACGACGTTGCCAAATGTTCAATAGATCTCTTTCAGCATATTAAGCAAATATAACACGTGTAAAATAGTATATGCATGTTGTTTTAAGCACGGTGTCAAGCATCCAATCACCCAGTAGGAATTTCGGGTTAGAATAGGTCCCCAGGTATATATGCGACCAAATTGCGTGGTCAGACAGGGTGACTTGCTTGATAGTGTGGCATCGTACCCTTATGGCGTGGATCGTTGTTCACAATATCAGTCACTGGATTGTCTGGTCCAGACTAAATTATGTACAGGCCACCGTCATATAGCTGGGATATTGTATAGTGTGGCGTTAAACAACACACAAATAATTATCCAATCAGCAGAGCCAGGCAAACCAATGGCTGATGATATGAGCAACGATCCAATAACATATACGCTGACGTAAAGTGAGCCCGTTCACACACTGTTACCACCTGGTCCTCTAATACGAAACGGGCGGTCGGGTAGCCTAGTGGTTAAAGCGTTGGCTCGTCACGCCGAAGACCCGGGTTCGATTCCCGACATGGGTACAATGTGTGAAGCCCATTTCTGGTGTCCCCCGCCGTGATATTGCTGGAATATTACTAAAAGGGGCGTAAAACCATACTCACTCACTCACTCACTCTATTACGAAACATTGTCAAAAGAACCTGCGACAGACAATCATTAGTTGCTAAATCTAGCTCCTCAAAGTAATTTGGGCATTTAATTAAAAGATGAATGCGAAATATCAAAGAAGTAGGAATATGTGACAGTCAAATTTATCAACTCGTGTTGATATATTTGATATCTCGACACTCGGGTGAGATTCTCTATTTATCATTCCGCCCGCCCCTCTTACTTCTTGAAACCCTGGACCAAATTACTGTTAAACAGAGAGAAAGAAATAGAATTTAGAAACATTTGGTGCAGAATTTGTGCCAGGATACTTCTTATGTCGTTATAATGACATACCGTATTCGACGTAATAAGCACCCCGCTCTCATAAGCGCCCACGGCGATATTTGCTAATAAATTGGCTAGTGAACAATCTCAATTAGCACTCCTTCCGATTGATCAATGTACACAAGACTTATTTATTCGTGTATAATATGCACTCGTGTGTTATATGTACCCTTAATTATGGGCATTTAAGTCCTGGAAAAATATATCTGTCGTATATAAACATTTCAGGCTGTCAGCATAAACCACGAAATCTGCGATCTTTTAACTCTGAATTTTTTCATCAAAATAATATTCTTATAAGAGCCCCCTATTTCTAATTTTGAGAGCGCCCTGGGCGCTTATTGCGTCGAATACGGTACACGCCTACATACTTACTTTAAAGCTAGCCTGTATTCACCAATAGCAATATCTGTATTGTTGTTCTTATCTTGGACGTTTCCAATGTTGTAGTGAATCTACAAACACGTTAATCAAAGTGTTAGGGGCTAGCTATTTCGTTTATTTGAAGACCTCATATCGTTCAAGTTTACTATAAGTCGAAATTTCAACACGAGCAGGAGAATTGAGAGCTTAACTGTTACCGATGCCAACTTTTATAGATCAGTGTACTATATTATGCACAAACGGGGCCATGCATGTTATAAAAAAACCTTGCTGCTGTAGGAGTGATTCACGTTACAAAATAAAATGTGACCGACTTCAAAACAAAGTATATGACGTCGGTTTGGAAGACCAAAGAATTATTTATTATTTTCCTGAAGTTACTCAGGAAATCGCGACTTGTTTTATAACAGGCTGTTGGTATAGTATCTACCTTAGCATTCAGGGGGCACACGTTGGCTCCAGATGTGAATAACGCCACTTCTCCCCTGAAATCCTTGCTCCTCTGAAAGAATACGTTCATTTATCCCACCTTCAGTTTAATTTATTCAACCATTGGTCAATCAATATGGTGTTCACATATGGAGCTAGCAGGATCAATGATGTGCAGATGTTTGATATTGAACCGCCTCCGTGGTCTAGTGGATAGAACTTCAGGAGAGCGTGAGGCCGGGGGTTCTACTTTTTTACATTGAGTGAGTGAGTGAGTTTGGTTTAACGCCGCTTTTAACAGTATTCCAGTCATATCGCGGCGTGTCAGCTTAATGTGGGAGGAAAGCCCGAAGTGATGCAGGTCTCAGACGTTTACCACTTCGGTGAAACCCACGAGCACGGGTATGGTGCTGACAAACCTAGAAACATAATCGGGGCGAACCGGGATTCGAACCCACAATCATAGGTTTCTGGCGTGCCCAAGGGACGCAACTCTGCACAGCGAATCGCGGCGCCTTAGACGACTGGGCCACCCGTACCCCTTTTTACATTGAACTGATATTTAAAGCATACAACTGTACTTCATTATCTATCAACTATGTGTTAAAAGACTCACCTCCATCGATCGTAGAAGAAACAGCAGTATGATGACTATAAACCCGACTGACACACACTGTAACACAGAAATACATTATGATAACTTGTTATACTCAAATTGAATCTAAACTATTTTGTTTCAAGTCGATAGCTTCTCCCGGGAAATTCAAACTACTGAAACAGAGTGAACTGAATTGTGTTTATCTTTAGTACTATTCATTATCATTTAATGAGTAAAATCATTTCTAACTACAATGCTGTGTTGATAATAGATCTTTACCATATGCATGGGGAATACAGCCCAGACAGAAAGTATACCACCTCAGAATCGAACCATTGTTTATTTGTGTAACATACCGGTCAATGAAACCGATGCACCATGTTACAATACAATGAGTAGCGTGAAATGTGTTTAACAATCGATATATAGGTTACACGGAAGCACAACTCCCTTTTTCCAGACACCTTACATATTAACTGCACACCAAGTTACCTCCCTTTTCAAAATACTAGATCCGCCTCTGACTACCCCCATCATATGGTTATCGACGTTGGAATTGGACAGTAGGCAAATCAATGCCTGGCTGGTGAATTCCTGGTGTTATGTAATTAACATTCCTGCGTCATTTTGATTTACTATTAATAGCAGCATTACGGAGAATTATCTTGAAACAGACAATTATCCGCCAAAGCGTAACCTTCATTGATTGGGATATTACGTGTCATGCAGCACGATGAAGGGGAACAAAAAGTACATCCCGCCTAATTCGAAAAGACAACATCACCCCAACAAATGTTATCTCAAATGTGACCATTTTTCCTGTGTCTGGCCTCAGGTAAACATATACCAATTCTGACGAAGGGACATGTTTCTCATTGGCTTACTGTAAAACACCGTTCTCTTTTATCTACTTGTGGAATATGTCTCTCGAAGTTTTTGTTGTTTAACGCCGCACTCATCATAATTCCAGGTATATGGCATTGGTCTGTAAATAATCATGTGTAGACCAGGCAATCCAGTGATTTACACCTTTAACATCCATCTAAGCAACTGGTCACTTAATCTGACCACCCAATCCCGTTAGTCGCCTCTTACGACAAGCATAGTCGCCTTTTACGGCAATCACAGGTTGATGAAGACCTATTCTACCCCGAATCTTCCAGGGTCGGAAATAATGTTGGAAAGGGATGCTTCGACCCATGGCAGGATGTTCAGGCTAAGATGAGGTTAGGTGAAATGGGATTTAACGTCGCGTCCAAGATTATTACACTTATATAGTGACATGCATGCACGTGTGTGTGTGGCTGCTGGTACTTGTCCAGACATTTTTACAGTGGTTACAACAAGCATGGGTTGCTGACGACCAATTCTAACCAGGAATCGTGGCGGGACGTCTCAAGAAGTACGTATGATTAACAGTAGAATGACCCATGTGGTCATCGACTGTTGTGTTGGCTTGTCAGTGTAGGTGACGTTACCATTATCTTTTTAGTTCGACTTATCAAGGCACTTTGGGACCTTACCTTCTTGGTTGTGGGATACAGTTGATGGCAGATCTGCCTTGCCCCGAGCACCACCAACATACAGAAGCCAGCACAGGACAGGTACAGGTTCCTCTCTGCGATCACGAAGCCCACACGGAAAAACAGGTTGCTGGCGGGCAGGAAGGGAATACCCAACACTGCCAGAGAGGTTATCAGGATCCTGCAGATAGAAATCACATCTAAATGTAGGGGACTTCCTGGGGTATTTGTTACAGTATACAAGTAATTCGGCTCTCGTCCCACAACGCAATCGTAACTTTGACTATTGTCCTATAAATTAACATAGAGTTACTTTGTAACGCTTCGACTGTAACCCATATGCGGCGTAGCACTGAGATCAGTTTGTGGTGAAACATTACATAAATGCTGTCATGGTTTATTTAAGGACCTAACATCCATTTTTAGATCTCTAAAACAATCCAGTTCGTCCTGCTGTGTTTGATGTAATGATGTTATTGTGTAATGATATTCGGAATTGTACACTTCAAGAATTGCAAGTGTCATAAAAGCCCTTCAAGCCAATCTGTGACACACTAGGAGGCCACTTTCAGTGCCTTTTCACATCACTTAAGAAACATTTGGCAAAGGTCTTGCTCTTATTAGAAATCTTACAAATGTCTTGAAAATGCTTCTTCGTCATTGTCCATTATACCACTGGACTTTAAAAGTCGTTATAAGACCTGAACTTTGTGTTTACCAGCTTACTTAGAGAAAATACTACCTGTCAATTGTATAGACTATGTAAATGACAGTGTTTCAATTTGGAAGAACTTTTTGTATGTTGAAATCATCTATATCAAATCATATATATACCTTCGATCTCTATTGAGTTCACCATGGAAACAATGACAGAACAAAACACCAAACCCAGCCCAGAGAGCTATGTCTGCCAGTATTCTGGGATCAGCCAATGAGGTGATGACAGGTATACAGCCCATCGACCAATCACAACATAGCCACCATGGATTCAACAGCAGCCAAACGTTGATGGCATAGATGTAATTGTAGTTCAAAATCTGCAACATAAATATATATCAGGCAAAGAAATAACACATGGTATTCAACTTTGAATCCTTTTTTCCACAAGGGACAGTTTCAAGGTGATTTATCCAAGATCAGTCCTTCATTTATGTGTTATATAGTTTCGAATATTTTGAACTTAGTGATCCATTTTAGTGTCTCGGCAAATAACAATAACTAATAAGGTTAGAAATGTGAAGCAACGAGGCACCATATAGATATGATCTATGTATCATTAAACATGAACATGGTAACCGTTTGGAACAGATCAATATTAGTTGAAAATATTATTCACTATTTGAACATCTCCACCAATGCCCCTATTGGAGAGACTCACAGTTGTGTTTATTGGTTTCAGTGACATATTGAAAGTCATGGTGAATGACAGTTATCGCATGTCCCTAGACTATGTTGATAATTTACTTTATCGATGTTAATTGCATTTAAAAGAGTATATGTGTGCACTTTTAAAATCAAATTCGAATTTTCTTCATCAATCTGCTGGTTTGTAGTACAGTACTTACTTTCGATATAGCGCCATTTACAAACGAATGTGGATTGTCTTCTTCAATCTTCTGGTTTGTAGTACAGTACTTACTTTCGATATAGTGCCATTTACAAACGAATGTGGATTGTCTTCTTCAATCTGTTGGTTTGTAGTACAGTACTTACTTTCGATATAGCGCCATTTACAAACGAATGTGGATTGTCTTCTTCAATCTGTTCGTTTGTAGTACAGTACTTACTTTCGATATAGTGCCATTTACAAACGAATGAGGATTGTCTTCTTCAATCTGCTGGTTTGTAGTACAGTACTTACTTTCGATATAGCGCCATTTACAAATGAATGTGGATTATCTTCTTCAATCTGCTGGTTTGTAGTACAGTACTTACTTTCGATATAGTGCCATTTACAAACGAATGTGGAGTATCTTCTTCAATCTGCTGGTTTGTAGTACAGTACTTACTTTCGATATCGTGCCATTTACAAACGAATGTGGATTATCTTCTTCAATCTGCTGGTTTGTAGTACAGTACTTACTTTCGATATAGTGCCATTTACAAACGAATGTGGATTGTCTTCTTCAATCTGTTGGTTTGTAGTACAGTACTTACTTTCGATATAGTGCCATTTACAAACGAATGTGGATTTTCTTCTTCAATCTGTTCGTTTGTAGTACAGTACTTACTTTCGATATAGCGCCATTTACAAACGAATGTGGATTATCTTCTTCAATCTGCTGGTTTGTAGTACAGTACTTACTTTCGATATAGCGCCATTTACAAACGAATGTGGATTATCTTCTTCAATCTGCTGGTTTGTAGTACAGTACTTACTTTCGATATAGTGCCATTTACAAACGAATGTGGATTTTCTTCTTCAATCTGTTCGTTTGTAGTACAGTACTTACTTTCGATATAGTGCCATTTACAAACGAATGTGGATTTTCTTCTTCAATCTGTTCGTTTGTAGTACAGTACTTACTTTCGATATAGTGCCATTTACAAACGAATGAGGATTATCTTCTTCAATCTGCTGGTTTGTAGTACAGTACTTACTTTCGATATAGTGCCATTTACAAACGAATGAGGATTGTCTTCTTCAATCTGCTGGTTTGTAGTACAGTACTTACTTTCGATATAGTGCCATTTACAAACGAATGTGGATTATCTTCTTCAATCTGCTGGTTTGTAGTACAGTACTTACTTTCGATATAGTGCCATTTACAAACGAATGTGGATTTTCTTCTTCAATCTGTTCGTTTGTAGTACAGTACTTACTTTCGATATAGTGCCATTTACAAACGAATGTGGATTTTCTTCTTCAATCTGTTCGTTTGTAGTACAGTACTTACTTTCGATATAGTGCCATTTACAAACGAATGAGGATTATCTTCTTCAATCTGCTGGTTTGTAGTACAGTACTTACTTTCGATATAGTGCCATTTACAAACGAATGAGGATTGTCTTCTTCAATCTGCTGGTTTGTAGTACAGTACTTACTTTCGATATAGTGCCATTTACAAACGAATGTGGATTGTCTTCCAAAGTGAATTTTGGTGTTTCAAATCCATTGATTCTAAGTCGAGTGAAGAGGAGTGACACGCCAGTCAGGAACAGGATGAGGTGACGCACGAGGAGACCCTTGATCCAGAGATTCATTTCCTGCTGTAGCAAACATCGTAACAACCGTATTCAAAGCAGATTTGATAATGTATAAAGTGCCACTAAACTGAGTGAATTCTTAACATTAATTTGAACAATATATCAACTGTAAAATATTGTGTCAAAATAAAACAAAATAAAATACAGTAAAATACCAATTAACATCATTGTTTTGTTGAAACCCACGGGTATGGTGCGCTGCTGATAACTAATGATTGTAATGTGAGCAAATCTGGGATTCGAAGCCAAGACCTACAGATCACAATACCAGAACACATTAGGAAGGGAATGTTGCTGTATAAAACAAGCAGATCACCCTGCCAGTACAGAGTAGATCATTCTTTTCAACACATTAGTTATATTTCCTTTCATCACTGAATAAATTCTGGAAAATGTTTCATATTGAACTTAGACAATCACATTGCTGACAAAACAAATAACTAAACTATCATGGGCATCTGTATGTCCTGTATGTCCTTGCGAAAAGATTTCAACATAGAAGTACGAAGTAATCCTTTGTTGGACCTTTATCGCACTCCTTCTCCATTCCTTACCTTATCTTTGACACGGTGTTTCCTATTTGACAGCCATTGCACGGGATGGACTCGACACACCATGATGATGTCATAAACACTACATATACCCTGTGAACACAAGACAAAATGATAACCAATTGGTGTAACTGAGTTAAACGTTGACGGATCTCCTCTCTGAATTAAACTGTTCTATTTAATTTACTATTCATTACGAAATGAATTTCAGAATTTCAGTTGGGCAGGATTTTATTATTTTAAGGTAGACACAACGCACAGACACATACTGGCCAGGATAGACACCAGGGGGAAGGACTCGGGACGGTAACTGACCAGGGATGAAACACTGAATACACTTACTATGACAGTGATGCCCTGCTCCTTACAGAAGGTGGACACGACACACAGGCACATACTGGCCAGTAGAGACACCAGGGAGAAGGACGCGGGACGGTAACTGACCAGGGATGTAGCTGAATTCAGAGAATGACATTTCGTTCAATAAAGTATGTTGAGGTTCTGCTGAAGACATCCTGTTTTTATAAGCCAGTAGAATTATGGTAGAATTGACGGTAAAATCGAAACCATATGACACAACATGAGAGTTATACTTTCTTAACACATCAGCTATACATGTACATTCCCAACACATCAGCAGTTCATTCCTAACACATCAGCTTTACAATCACAACACATCAGCTTTACAATCACAACACATCAGCTTTACAATCACAACACATCAGCTTTACAATCACAACACATCAGCTGTACAATCACAGCACATCAGCTGTACAATCACAACACATCAGCTTTACAATCACAACACATCAGCTTTACAATCACAACACATCAGCTTTACAATCACAACACATCAGCTTTACAATCACAACACATCAGCTGTACAATCACAACACATCAGCTGTACAATCACAACACATCAGCTTTACAATCACAACACATCAGCTTTACAATCACAACACATCAGCTGTACAATCACAACACATCAGCTTTACAATCACAACACATCAGCTTTACAATCACAACACATCAGCTGTACAATCACAACACATCAGCTTTACAATCACAACACATCAGCTTTACAATCACAACACATCAGCTTTACAATCACAACACATCAGCTGTACAATCACAACACATCAGCTGTACAATCACAACACATCAGCTTTACAATCACAACACATCAGCTTTACAATCACAACACATCAGCTGTACAATCACAACACATCAGCTTTACAATCACAACACATCAGCTTTACAATCACAACACATCAGCTTTACAATCACAACACATCAGCTGTACAATCACAACACATCAGCTGTACAATCACAACACATCAGCTTTACAATCACAACACATCAGCTGTACAATCACAACACATCAGCTTTACAATCACAACACATCAGCTGTACAATCACAACACATCAGCTTTACAATCACAACACATCAGCTGTACAATCACAACACATCAGCTTTACAATCACAACACATCAGCTGTACAATCACAACACATCAGCTTTACAATCACAACACATCAGCTTTACAATCACAACACATCAGCTTTACAATCACAACACATCAGCTTTACAATCACAACACATCAGCTTTACAATCACAACACATCAGCTGTACAATCACAGCACATCAGCTTTACAATCACAACACATCAGCTTTACAATCACAACACATCAGCTTTACAATCACAACACATCAGCTTTACAATCACAACACATCAGCTTTACAATCACAACACATCAGCTGTACAATCACAACACATCAGCTGTACAATCACAACACATCAGCTTTACAATCACAACACATCAGCTTTACAATCACAACACATCAGCTGTACAATCACAACACATCAGCTTTACAATCACAACACATCAGCTTTACAATCACAACACATCAGCTTTACAATCACAACACATCAGCTTTACAATCACAACACATCAGCTGTACAATCACAACACATCAGCTGTACAATCACAACACATCAGCTTTACAATCACAACACATCAGCTGTACAATCACAACACATCAGCTTTACAATCACAACACATCAGCTGTACAATCACAACACATCAGCTTTACAATCACAACACATCAGCTGTACAATCACAACACATCAGCTTTACAATCACAACACATCAGCTGTACAATCACAACACATCAGCTTTACAATCACAACACATCAGCTTTACAATCACAACACATCAGCTTTACAATCACAACACATCAGCTGTACAATCACAACACATCAGCTTTACAATCACAACACATCAGCTGTACAATCACAACACATCAGCTTTACAATCACAACACATCAGCTTTACAATCACAACACATCAGCTGTACAATCACAACACATCAGCTTTACAATCACAACACATCAGCTTTACAATCACAACACATCAGCTTTACAATCACAACACATCAGCTTTACAATCACAACACATCAGCTGTACAATCACAACACATCAGCTTTACAATCACAACACATCAGCTTTACAATCACAACACATTAGCTTTACAATCACAACACATCAGCTTTACAATCACAACACATCAGCTGTACAATCACAACACATCAGCTTTACAATCACAACACATCAGCTTTACAATCACAACACATCAGCTGTACAATCACAATACATTAGTTGCACAATCACAACACATCAGCTGCACAATCACAACACATTAGTTGCACAATCACAACACATCAGCTGCCCAATCACAACACATTGGTTGCACAATCACAACACATCAGCTGCACAATCACAACACATTAGTTGCCCAATCACAACACATCAGCTGCCCAATCACAACACATTGGTTGCACAATCACAACACATCAGCTGCACAATCACAACACATTAGTTGCACAATCACAACACATCGGCTGCACAATCACAGCACATCAGCTGCACAATCACAAGACTTACGTGAGAGGCAGGCCCTGGCGTACAGCAGGAATGAAAGGAGGAAGGTCAAGGCACACAGCAGATCAGCCCGACCCACGACCCCTGCTACCTGGAACAAGTGGGTATTAAGGGAGCAAATAATATATTGACACTGTATATGATTACAGCTTTATTTGTAATATCTGTATGTCTTCAATTGTATGACTGCAAAGTATTTGCCATTTCTCACACTGGCAATATAAAGCAAAAGGTGAAAAAACTCCAATTTTTTTTTTCAGAATTGAAACAAAGACAGTCATGTGTTATCATCTTTAGTGTTCCTGTAGCTATCGTGATAACACAATGATAACCAGGTCTCAAACAAGACACCTGTTGAAGTAGTTTATGCATATATTAAGTTAACATCAAATCATTTGTTTTACATGTTAGTTCTTAATGAAGCTGCACAATCACAATATTAGTTCTTAACGAAGAGGTTTGAAATAATATAATCGTAAATGAACGTTCTTTTGCGAACCGCAGCTTGGAAGCTTTTTCAGTTACTTAATAAATAAACTGACGCTCATACATATGTGAACTATGTGAATGAACTATGCTTGGCCCAGCTTTGAAGCGTTTCTACCGCTAACTAGAACATTAGAAGCAGTTTGAACCCACACTTTCAGTGTGAATGGGATGCACAGCAAACAACACAGCACACAGGAGAGAAGCTCGGGGCGAGGCAAACACCGGCCTGGCAGATTCCTGGTCCACCTGGTAACCAGACATGAGGACAGAGAATACTGCCAGGAAGATGACCGACACCAAGCCGTGCAGGACGATGTTGACAACGTGGAAGCCCCGAGGATGAAGGCCACCTGCCCAGGCATAGTTCCACCTGGAATTAAGAATAATTTTAATTTTAAAGTCCACAGATGAGCTGTATAATTTACTCTATCCAATGTTAAGTCTATTTCATTCCCCATAAAGCAACACTAAATTTTTATATATTGTAGTATATGTCACTGACACTATGATAACCAAAAGAGTGAATGTTTGTGTATGTGAGTGAAGGAGGGAGGGAGGAGGGAGGGAGGAGGGAGGGAGGAGGGAGGGAGGAGGGAGGGAGGAGGAGGATAGAAGGAGGAAGCGAGGGAGCGAGTAATGGTCAAACCGGTTTTATATAGCTACCCCACTGAGATACCATGGATACCACACTCAGACCAAGTATACCGACTCCGAACGTCAAGAACGGTAACAAGTACCATCTTTTGGCATGACGGGGCCAGGGGATCTTACCACCGATCTTCCGCTCTATTTACTAGACTAGAGTTAGTGTTTCCAGATACAGGGATAAATAAACAGTTTTAGTTATAGTGAGTGAGTGAGTTGGGTTTAACGCCGCTTTTAACACTATTCCAGTTATATCACGGCGTGTCAGCTTAATGTGGGAGGAAAGCCCGAAGTGATGCAGGTCTCAGACGTTTACCACTTCGGTGAAACCCACGAGCACGGGTATGGTGCTGACAAACCTAGAAACATAATCGGGGCGAACCGGGATTCGAACCCACAATCATAGGTTTCTGGCGTGCCCAAGGGACGCAACTCTGCACAGCGAATCGCGGCGCCTTAGACGACTGGGCCACCCGTGCCCCCGTTTTAGTTATATGTGCGCTGATCCTTATATCAATGTGAGGGTACTCGAAGGAAGGATATTTTACGCCCCAGTGAGAAATATTCCAGCTGTATCATAGCGCCCATGGCTCACCTGTACGTCATCACCGTGAGGGGTCTGTAGGACTTGTGACTTCTGTTGTCCAACTTATTTCCCCAAAAGTCATGAGCGAAAATGGTTGAGAGCGGGGCCTCGGGGAGCAAGTCTTTGTTTGTAGTAATGGCCGACAGATCATCAAAAATAAACGCTCCGTCATGACTGTTCGCGAAGCACAGTACCGCCAGACAGAAGACGAGGACAGATGCCACAGAGAAGCTGAGTTTGGGTACAGGCAGCGCGTAATCCCATTCTTGTTGCTGGTAGCTGCTTACATGGCCATCGGTCTTGGGGAATCTGGAGGTCGATGTACTTGTGGCCATCATCACACGTTTATTATTCTGTTGATCAAATTACAAAGTTTGTGTAAGTAAATCTATATAATCATCATATAGCAATTAAAAGATACAAAGTACGATAACTTGGTAGAACTATATGCATTGAGAAACCTGTGTTGCAGCTCCAATGTTAAGCCCATTTCATTCCCCATAAAGCAACAATAAATTTATTATTAGTCTTTCATTACACAATTTTAATCCTGAGACAAGAGTTCTTTTTTATATTTTATTTTTTCTTAGAAATTAACTAATTATCTGTTTACATTGTCTGTCGCCTGATGCGATACACACGAATCGTGAATGTTTTGTAGGACTACGTATATGGTGTAGTCCATCATATAGAGAAAGAAAGGATCAGGTGTACGTACATACAGCGATTTTCTTTAGCCCCCTCTACCTCTGGACCATACAAGTATACAAAGCGTGGTTTTTAGTTCTCGGGAGGATGGGGCTGAAAATTTGATAATTTATGAATGGCCTAATGTGAGTACACAGCATAGATTCATTCAACAGATATTTGACGCCATGGCGATAGACCACGTCTGTAGCTAGCTTATCACCCAACTGCACCTACTCGTCCATTGACTATGCACCGTTTCGAAATGCGGAGCGATTCATATGTTGATGGTTAATGGTGTATACGAGGCCTCAAGTCTTATTATCTGATGTATTTTCAATTTAGAAGTTTCAAATGAACATTCGATATCTATGAATCTCATTTGGAAAAGCGCTTTGAAATTATCCCATTTCGAGATTCATTAAAAGAACACACTTGATTTATCTGCATTCTACATGGCAATATAAATGTGAACCATTTTGGTGACAGGGGAAGTATTGTGTGATCTGAAATTGGTTGAGCCGAATATGTTTGAGAAGAGTTTAGGACAAGACGAATAGCGACTCGTGCCCCTGTCATGGCCATTTTTGCGACCGGGTTCCGTTTTAGCGCAAACGGGCATACCTAAGACAATTGTCAATTCTCTGCGAAATGGTTCACATTTATTTCCCCATGTTTTACATATATTTCAGATGCAATTTAAACCACATCGGGACGTGTGGAATTATACAGTATGATTGAACACATTTAACTGTATCTTGGGCATCTTTTTGGATGCAAGACATACGTAAAATCAAAACATATTTCTGAGGGATTCTTTGACGAAGAATTTGAAATCATACGCGCAGTCTGATTGGTTTGTCGTATTTTCGCACATAACATTCATCGATAGGGGGACGAGTCTTCTTTCAGGTTACGGAAAGAGGCGAGTGGTGACGAATGCCGCGTGTATATGTCATATTGCACATATTCAAAACACAAGCTCCTCCTCCGCAGCAGCAATTCAGCCCTTTGTGGAGATTTTAATATTAATTAAACGGACCAACTTAGAGAAAAAGAAACGGTCATTGAGACGTTGTATACTAACGGTAGTATATTACGCATCACTATTGTGACGTCATAATGTTCAAGTGATGAATGTCCATGTGGTGATTATATAGTGACAGTATGAAAGAGACTAGCGTCAAATGACAACCACCATCTATGTAACAATGTTTTACAATATACTCTTACAGTGATTATTCTTCGGATTTTCTTTCTCAATATACAAGCAAATTAGACTATATAAAAACATAATGAGGCCGATCCGTGATTTGCCCCTATGATTACAGATTATTGGCACATACACGTCCGGTAGAATATCGAATTGCTAGCAAAATACATAGATGTGGGGGCACGGATGGCCCAGTCGTCTAAGGCGCCGCGATTCGCTGTGCAGAGTTGCGTCCCTTGGGCACGCCAGAAACCTATGATTGTGGGTTCGAATCCCGGTTCTCCCCAATTATGTTCCTAGGTTTGTGGGTTTCCCCAAAGTGGTAAACGTCTGAGACCTGCATCACTTCGGGCTTTCCTCCCACATTAAGCTGACACGCCGTGATATAACTGGAATACAGTTAAAAGCGGCGTTAAACCCAACTCACTCACATATTGATTTAATATCAAGTGTTTGAGAGTTTCACATAAAGGTTGCATTTTTACCATAATGATTTTAGACACTGTGACATTTACTTACCTAGTCATGTGCCATGCCTCGACGTAAACACACGATACACGGGGAAATAACAGCTTGTTGACAACAACGTCGCTTGTCTTTGTACAGAAGGCTGTTTTTCCAACTCACATGTGTTGAGGAAATACTGGCTGACTCCAAAAGACCATGTCGATATAGGACTAAACAAATTCCCTTCCCAATGACATCCTTGCTGCTGACTTGATACTCACTGATCCTCAAACAGGTCACATCCGTGTAAACACGGATGTAGATGTAACGTCACGTATTAAACTATGGCCATTCACAGAGCGGTTTGTGTCGCAGGAGGTATCAATTGAGTCAAATATAGATTGTTGTGTGAACATATGTGCCGTATCGACTGCAGAAATCGACTTTTCCTCTGGCACGGGTTTGAACGATACACGCCAGGATACATTAAATGCACGACTTACGTGTGTATCATTTTTGTAACTATTCCGGAACGCATTCCATGTAATTTGTAATAAAAAAGACACACGTACACTCTTCGGTTAAAAGGCATGTCGTCCGAAGAGGAGGCCCAAAGTGACGCAGGTCGTCGATTTTATCGCTTCAGTGAAAACAACGAAGACAGATATGGTACTGACAGACCAAGTGACACAGGCAGAGCGAAGCAGGGATTCGAACCCACCACGTGTGGTTCCTGGCACGGCTTGGGATGTAATTCTACAAAGTGAATTGTGGCGTCCTAGACATTGGGCCACTCGTGTCAGTGTTGCCAGAGTAAAATGGATCCGAATTATCCCACAAGGGGCTTAAAAAGATAAATCATTCCGTTAAACATAGCTGACATTTACTGTTAACTGATTGAAATATGCATGAGAAACTGTCCCTAATGTGATCGACGTATAGAGGATGAATATTATTTTTTTAATCTACCTTTGATGCTACTGGAATTAAATATCTTTTAAAACATGTGACACTTATGTAATATGCATACATTTAAAGAAATAATATCCACAAACGACACTGCACTAATAAAGTCACTATGTCTGTTTATTTATCATGCGTATGAAAGAAGAAAGTATTTATTAAACAATGTTTAAATTATGAATATTGAACTAGAACACTTGTAAATTGTTTATATGATACTTCCATGTTTACCCTACACATATAAAGTCTCTGCTACCAATCATGTGCCGATACTCCATCAACAGGAAAGTGGTTTTCGGTTGTTCGACAAGTCCGTTGTATGCAAACAAAATGTGCCATACGAAACCAGATGCTAAATATCATGGAGAGGAGTATAGGATAATTTTATCAATAAAACATGTGACACGCCGACAGTTAGTATCTTCCACCTGACGCACAGGCGCATACATTAAACATTCGGAATAAGACGGGAAGCGGTCATGAATTCCAAATCATGTAATATTCAATAATGCAATAGACTGACCACAGTGAAGCCACATGACGTTTTAAACTGCTTTCCTGCAACACCGTGCCTACTCCATCCAATGTTTCCGTCAGTGTCATATTATGTACCCTGTGGATTTTGTTGAACTATTGGAGGTCTGATAGATGCTGTCCTGTTAAGGCGTTCGTGTTATTTTCCATCTGCCGCCAAAAGGAGCAATGCGTGCCTTGTATTGTGATGCAGAAGACCCATATGTTTAGCCAATTACACTCGTTCATTAAAAAATTGACGATGATGGTTAAGTTTCATCAATCACCACATACATGATCGAGACTCGGGGAAATACAGGACCTGTATTCTGGTTCTTTCTCCCAAGTGACAACGCTACAGATCACAACTCAACTTGGAGGCATGGATGTACTTGGGAGTTGTACAGGCAAGTTGAACAAGACCGAGTCGGCCGACACCAGCTTCTGCAATGCTCTCTTGTGTGTGTAGTCTCGTAAGTCTACATAATATACAGGCGAGTTGAACAAGACCGAGTCAGCCGACACCAGCTTCCGCAATGCTCTCCTGTGTGTAGTCTCTTAAGTCTACATGTTGTATAGCCAGAGTTGAACAAGACCGAGTCGGCCGACACCAGCTTCGGCAATGCTCTCCTGTGTGTAGTCTCGTAAGTCTACATGTTTTATAGCCAGAGTTGAACAAGACCGAGTCGGCTGACACCAGCTTCGGCAATGCTCTCCTGTGTGTACAGTCTCGTAAGTCTACATGTTTTATAGCCAGAGTTGAACAAGACCGAGTCGGCCGACACCAGCTTCCGCAATGCTCTCTTGTGTGTAGTCTCGTAAGTCTACATGTTTTACAGCCACAGTTGAACAAGACCGAGTCGGCCGACAACAGCTTCCGCAATGCTCTCCTGTGTGTAGTCTCGTAAGTCTACATGTTTTACAGCCACAGTTGAACAAGACCGAGTCGGCCGACAACAGCTTCCGCAATGCTCTCTTGTGTGTAGTCTCGTAAGTCTACATGTTTTACAGCCAGCGTTGAACTAGACCGAGTCAGCCGACACCAGCTTCCGCAATGCTCTCTTGTGTGTAGTCTCGTAAGTCTACATGTTTTACAGCCAGAGTTGAACAAGACCGAGTCGGCCGACAACAGCTTCCGCAATGCTCTCCTGTGTACAGTCTCGTAAGTCTACATGTTTTACAGCCAGCGTTGAACTAGACCGAGTCAGCCGACAACAGCTTCCGCAATGCTCTCTTGTGTACAGTCTCGTAAGTCTACATGTTTTACAGCCAGCGTTGAACTAGACCGAGTCAGCCGACAACAGCTTCCGCAATGCTCTCTTGTGTGTAGTCTCGTAAGTCTACATGTTTTACAGCCACAGTTGAACAAGACCGAGTCGGCCGACACCAGCTTCCGCAATGCTCTCTTGTGTACAGTCTCGTAAGTCTACATGTTTTACAGCCAGCGTTGAACTAGACCGAGTCAGCCGACAACAGCTTCCGCAATGCTCTCTTGTGTGTAGTCTCGTAAGTCTACATGTTTTACAGCCAGCGTTGAACTAGACCGAGTCAGCGGACACCAGCTTCCGCAATGCTCTCTTGTGTACAGTCTCGTAAGTCTACATGTTTTACAGCCAGCGTTGAACTAGACCGATTCAGCCGACAACAGCTTCCGCAATGCTCTCTTGTGTGTAGTCTCGTAAGTCTACATGTTTTACAGCCACAGTTGAACAAGACCGAGTCGGCCGACACCAGCTTCCGCAATGCTCTCTTGTGTACAGTCTCGTAAGTCTACATGTTTTACAGCCAGCGTTGAACTAGACCGAGTCAGCCGACAACAGCTTCCGCAATGCTCTCTTGTGTACAGTCTCGTAAGTCTACATGTTTTACAGCCAGCGTTGAACTAGACCGAGTCGGCCGACACCAGCTTCCGCAATGCTCTCTTGTGTACAGTCTCGTAAGTCTTTCATAATGTCACACAAGGTGCACCAACACATACTGGCGGCCTGTAAATAGTCTAGTCTGGGTGGGACAATCCAGGGGATTGACATCATGAACATCGATCGATGCAATAGGGATACGACGACATGCATCAGCAAAGTCAACGAGCCTGACCTCCCGATCCCTTTAGTCGTGTCTTTAGCTGCTGAAGACCAATACTAACCCAGATCTTCAGGGGGTCCATTGCCTGCTTGATGTGTCTGGATGTGCTATTTTGCCCACGTCCTGTATTGACGTGACTTCGAGCTTTTGTGCCCGAATGAAGACTTCACATGACTCTGAAACGTAGTCATAGCAAGAAACCCATTTTCTCTTCTACAGTCTTTACCATCAAGTGGCCGAGCGATGCAGTTTGCTGTGTTGCTTTGCGTCTGTCAGTAATGCCAGGTTCCACTCTTCGTGGACGTCTGGACCACATCTGACCCAGTTGGCTTCAAAAATTGGTAAACGTCAGCGAAAACTTTAGACCCTCTATATACATGAAACTGTCAATCTGTGATACAAGTGGAAAACCAGCGCTCCACAGGCTCACATGTGCTATCTATCTTGTGTCTCCTGCTGTGAAATAGCACCAATAGCACTTCAGACACATATAAAACACAAATACAATACAATTAAATGAGAATCATGTCTTTAATGCATTAACTTACCTCTAAAAATATAATAAATATATCTATACAATATCATCTGACAAAACATAAACTACATGTTTGCATTGGTTTCACATATATGTCGAGCATATTCTAAAATACCCTGAAGCTAATCTATAGTTAAATTGACATGATTTTTTAGTGAAAAACACAAAAGAAGTATGAGAACAATGATATGTTTTTGAGCTTACATTATAATGTATTAATATCACCCTGAAGAAATTGGACATATAGTACAACCTGGTTATAATGCCACCTTTTGTACATTGAAACATTTGGCATTATAATTAGGTTGTACTGTACATTTTGGACCAAAGCGATTTGTCCTAAATACCATTTCTGAAGTAAAACTGCAAAATTAATATATTATGCGCTTTTCCATTCTTCCTTTCATGACTAGGCACAATCTTCACATCAGGTCAGCATACCTCTTCTGTTTAGCCGCTCCCACAACATGTACAAATGTGATAAATGTATAACGTCTCAGAAATCAATTTTACTTGATTTTGCCCATTTTTCTATGAAGCATCTGCAGGTCATTGAGGATTAGAGGATCACTTGGCGACAGCTGCTTTGCCCTCAACATGGCTTTCTCAGCTTCCTCGTACTTTTCCCAACGATAATATAACATGCCTGAAACAAAAGCATTTTTGGAGAAATTATGTCAGGTTATGTTTGAAGTGTAGGTTCTCGAATATTTTTGGACCTTCTTCTGCTTCTTTGGTCTTATATGAGATATACAAATATGGAACTGCCTGACGTCTAGACGTTTAAGTCAAATGATTGTTTACATATGGTACAGAATCTCTGATTGAAATGCAATACCTAGACTATGATGTAAAAGTGGATTCTTGTTTCCCTTGATGGCTGCCTGCAACAGGCGTTCGCCTTCCTTGAACTTCTCTACCTTCGTGTACACATTTGCAAGATTAATCACCAGGTCTGCTTCGTCAGGAAGTACCTTTAGTGCTTCTTTACCAACCTCGATAGCACGGCCATATTTACCTGTATGGGGGAAACGATTTGGTCGATGTACAACATTTTTATAGACTATATAACTCGCTTTATACTGATGGAAAAGATTCAGCATAAAGTTACCTTTTAAACAGGTTCATAGTTCTTTCAATGATATTTTCAGTTAGGAATAATCATATTCTGAAAAAGATTACTGAGATAGTTCTTTACTAGCAAGTATTGTTTAATTAATTCTGATATCATGACTTACAAGCCAAACCTGAAAAGACACGCTAACTATTTTATTTCTTACCCAGATCATGCAAAAGCATTAGAGTGTGTTTCCAGGCTCCGGTGTATGTAGGACTCATCTGTGTAG